AAAACGTAAACAAATATGCTCGAAGCTGTGTGGATAGGGAAGGATGGCGAACACAGAAACAACGTGTCTGGATGCACTGTTTCCGACATGATGATATGTGGATTTCTTTCAGTGTAAACGTAGTCTTAGATGCTTATAAAACATAAACCATTATCCATTTATCGGTGCACCAAGTTATTTTGTTAAATGTTCTGTAAAACATTCAGTTGTCTTTAATAATCTTCAACTAACTCACTCACATATTTCTTTTTGCTGTTTTTCCTTCGACTTCTTTTGTGCAAATAAAAACTAAATATTAGTCTTTTAGTAATACAAGGACAATAAATTAAAGTTTAGTTTAGTCAGTGAATATTATTAAAGGCACTACATTATTTTTACTGTCTTAAAACATGAAAAAAACAGTTTGCAGTGGTCCAAAGTTCCTTCATTCTGAGCATCCTATTTATTCACAGTGATGAGCTTTTCGGAGACTGATAATCAGGAAGTGCAAGTTAGCATACTAGTTGTTGTTACCGTGCACTTTGACTGGACAAAAACATTTTATAATCAGATGCAGACAGTACACAGCACATTTATTTTGACCTAAAGAGCTGCTCATATAACATATCTGTATGGGCAAGACAAAATTTCCTCAAATCTGAAGAGAAAAATCCAATACTGGCCCTTTAATTTGTTGATTTCTGCTCCAAAAACAACATTTTTTTTTTGCAGCCACAGAATTTCCTCAATCTTGATTTGATTAAAATGATATTACATTTATTAATTCCACTGTCTTAAGCTCTGATTGTGTTTGATTGCAGTTACAGCTTTAAAAAAATGAGACAAACTTGATAAAACACTTCAGATTTGCTGGATAATTTTAAGATTTTTGGAACTAAAGTCAGAGTTAATCCAGTGTCAGAAAGCACTGATTTTACTGATTTGTTTTAACCAGTATTTTTCGTCAAGTACTTTCACGTGAAGTTATTCCCAGACAGTAGTATTAAGAATAAAATCATGTCAACAACTCTTACGTCTTTCAAGAAATACTTTAGTGTAGCACTTTTATCAGTACTAACCTGTAAACTGACAATATACTACTACTTTTTACTCACCAATTCACCTTCTTCCAAAATATTTTACTGTTTAATACATTTCCCTGCAACTAAGTCACCATTTATACTCAGAAAAGTATCTTAAACATCAATTTTGGCAACACAAACCAGCTCTTTTATTACACACAAGACCATAAGGAAAATATGTAAAGAAGACCAGTGGATAATAAATAAATTTAAGCAAGTTTAAACAGGAATGTGCGCAATTTTACTCTAAAGCAGAGAAACAGCACCCTCTACTGGCAAGGGTTGTGTTGAGTAAGAGACTAGGAATAAAACTGCCACAACTGAAATAAATAATTGAAAAAAAAAAATAAAAATAAATTAAAAAGGTCAATGATCTGAGCGTTTAAACAATAACATAATGGTAAAAATTATGGGATTATCAAGTAAAACCAATAATAAAACACCAATAATTGTTGTTTTAATGTACTTATTTGGATTTTTAAGGATGTTAGGCCACTTTTGGTATGTATAAGTAACATTTATTTTTATATTTGTTGTTATAAAGGAGTTGTGTTGAGTAAAGAGACTGGGACGAACAAGACAAGACTGGGAATGAGCAGAGTTGGAGTAAAATTGTCACAACTAATCTCACAAGTAACTAAATGAATGTAAAAAAACACCAATTATTGTTGTTTTAACATATTTACTATTTAGATGCTTTTGTTTTAAGATAATATGTCACTTTCTGGTGTAACACAAACTTACTTCAAGCATAACAGAAACACAGTGGCATATTTCTTGTTTTTATATGAGTTATTAGACTTAGACAAACTTTATTGCTCCTCGAGGGAAATTATTTGGACACTGGACATTTGAAGCTCACACATCACAATATAATAATACAGAGACTTTTTTTTTTTTTAGAAGATTATAAAACCCCTCTGGTGGGAAAAGTTTGAGAACCACTGAGCAGTTTTATTCCAAAGTTTAATCTGAAGTAATAGACAAAGCCACTTCGGAATATACTTTGTTTTTGATTAACTTTTTATACATTTTATTACATTAGTCTGCATTTTGACAGATTTTTTAGGAACTTGACACTTACATTGTGTATTTAGAATCGTGGTGGCCTAGTTCTTGTCTTGATTGATTTATTGCTGTTCATTATCAGTGTTGGAACATAATAAAGCAAAAGGAGTAAAGTACTGTACTGTAAATATATGTCTTTATTGTACTTATCTGTGCGAAAGTAGAATTTACAGTGGATACTTTTTACTTTTACTTCCCGATTTGAGAGCAGGTATCTGTACTTTCTACTCCACTACATTTTTAACTGGACTGAAAAGTAGAAAAGTAGAAATATTTTTTCATTATAGTTATAGTTGTACATATATTAGGTATCTGTACTTTTACTTAAAGGTTGTATGGAGGATTTTTTTTTTTGTTTCAAACTGTCAGTCAAAGATTAAAATACCATTACAAAGACGCAGCAGCTTTGTAATTATGAGGACCAAAAAAAAAAAAGAACGAAAATCTATCAACTGTGGACGTGTTGAGGCCAGATAAACATCAGCCAATAGAAAACGAGGCTCCCTCATTTTCTATTGGCTGTTAGGTTGTCAATCAAACTCCCTAGTATAACTGACTCGTCGGAGCGCGGGGATTACGTGGTTTACGCAGCGGTTCTTAGAGGCTTTTTCGAACTGTCGCTTCCTCGCATTTTACACAAAGTTTGTCGCGACGGCGGACGAGAATCCACGACCGGTTCGCCGCAAAAGAAAGTCAGTTTTTGAGGTCGCTGAAAGAAGAAGAGAAGGGAAAAGAAGCAAAACCAAACTGAGGTGATTCTTGGAGATCTCGTCCAGCGATGGCGCGACCGAAGCAGACGAAGGGTCTAAAAACTGACGCGTCGGTCGCTGAATTACTTCTAGACAGGAAACTTCAACAGTAATTCTGAATGCGCACAAGGACTGTCGCTGTATTTCTCTTCCCTTAAAAAAATCCTCTATACAACCTTTAAGTAGTATTTACAGTGGATACTTTGTACTTTTACTTCCCTACATTTGGGAGCAGGTATCTGTACTTTCTACTCCACTACATTTTTAACTGGACTGAAAAGTAAAGTAGTTTGAGACCTACTGAAAAAAAAATATTTATTTTTAAAAAGTTAATAATTAGAACAAACATAAATAAAACCAGCTAGGAGAAAAACTATTAACTCGTTTAAGCTGAATAAAACTCAGCAAATCTTTAACGAAATCAATTATTTTGAAGCTTTACTCAAGCTGAAAATCCTTGCAAAATACTTGAGTGCATTTTTAAACAGATATTTTTACTTAAGTAGAATTTGTCATGTCATATTTGTACTTTTACTTGAGTATTTCTTTGCTCTGGTATCTGCACTTTTACTTAAGTAGAATTTACAGTGGATACTTTTTAACTTTTACTTCCTGATTTGAGAGCAGGTATCTGTACTTTCTACTCCACTCCACTTTTAACTGGGCTGAAAAGTAAAAGTATTTTTTATTATAGTTTGAGACCTGCTGAAAAGGGATTTATTTTTCAACAACAAACAAAATATACAAATAAAAACAGCTAGGTAAAACTATTAATTGCATCGTTTCAGCTGAATAAAACTTAGCCCAAATCTTTATCAAAATAAATCATTTTGAAGCTTTATTAAATCTGAAAATCCTTATTAAATGTGAAAATCTGTGCAAAATACGTTCAGTTTTTACTTTTATTTAACCAAATAAACTTTTGTGCAGTTGACGAATTGAATTTCTCCATTCTTCTTTAAGTACATTTTTAAATAGATACTTTTACTTAAATAGAATTTGTCATGTCATACTTGTACTTTTACTTGAGTATTTCTTTGCTCTGGTATCTGTACTTTTACTTAAGTAGGATTTACAGTGGATACTTTTTACTTATACTTCCCTAAATTTGAGAGCAGGTATCGATCATTTCTACTCCATTACATTTTTAACTGGACTGAAAAGTGATATTTTTAAAAAAAGTAAATTTTAATTTAAGTTTTAATTTGAAGAAAACAAAATATACAAAAAAACAAAAACAAACAAAAAACAAAACAACAAAAAACAAAAAAAAAAACAGCTACGTAAAACTATTAATTGCATCGTTTCAGTTCAAATCTATATCAAAATTTATTATTTTGAAGCTTTAGTCTCTCTGAAAATCCATGCAAAATACTTAAGTGCATTTTTAAACATACTTTTACTTAAGTAAAATTTGTCATGTGATCTTATATTTATTTGCTCTGGTATCTGTACTTTTACTTAAGTAGTATTTACAGTGGATACTTTTTACTTTTACTTCCCTACATTTATCGATAACTTCTACTCCACTACACTTTTAACTGAACTGAAAAGTAGAAAAGTAAAGTAGTTTGAGACCTACTGAATTTATTTATTTATTTTTTTAAGTTAATAATTTGAACAAACAAAACATACAAATGAAAACCGTTAGGTAAAACTATTAACTGCTTCGTTTCAGCTAAATAAAACTCGGCCCAAATCTTTATCAAAATCAATCATTTTGAAGCTTTATTAAATCTGAAAATCTGTGCAAAATATGTTTACTTTTTACTTGTATTTGACCAGATAAACTTTTGTCCAGGTGGCAGATTTAATTTCTCCTTTTGCCTTTACTTTTTACTCTTTAGTATAGTACATTTTTAAACAGATACTTTTACTTAAATAGAATTTACCATTTGATCTTGTACTTTCACTTGAGTATTTCTTTGCTCTGCTATTTGTACTTTTACTTTAGTCCTAGAAACAAGTATCCTGTTCTTCCAGCACTGTTCATTATGTAATTTACGGTCACAACTCGCCTCTGTGTCGTTGCTGTCGCGTCCTGGAGCCGTGTGACCCTCCTACTCCACGAGCAGAACAGCCGCGCGCTCTCTCGTGCTCCCCCTCGCGGCGCGTCCTGCCACTGTTGGAAAATGGCTGCTCGCTGTGCCACTCCAAAGCGCAGCCCAAACTAAACTCAACTCTTCTGCTTTTTTTTAATCAACGACGGGTCGCGTTTTGGACCTTACTTTACCGCCAAACCGACACCCCGGAGACTGCGCCAAAACTCGCCATGACGCGCTGGGTGCCAACCAAGAGGGAAAAGTACGGAGTCGGTACGTAACAAAACTTCTCCCATGCTCCATCGCTAGCTCTCTCCTAGCCTCTTTGGGTGTCTTTATAAGTTTGTGAAATCGTTTGTTTGGGGTTTTACGCGTGATTTGTGGCGCTGGGTGCGAGTTTGCTGTGCGTATTTGACTTGGAGCGGGGCGCGGAGTTGCGAACGGTGTCTTTGCCACTTAGTTTACACGAAATGCAAACAAGGAATCTGTTTCTATTGTGAGTGAGAGAGAGAGAGGGAGAGAGCTGTGCGGATTGGGAATATTAGGCGCGCCTAGTCACAGCGTTGTTTCCTGTCTATCCATGGGGCCTCCGCTACATAATACACCAAAGCTCCCAACACCACTGGCAAAACGTGGGACAATATCAGACCAGCGTGACACACATGGCGCGTTTTGGCTTCACGTATCTGCACTTTTTTATCAGCTGTGGTCGGTGAAGTTGTAGTTTTGCATCCGGAGAGAAAGTCGTGCCAGTTTGGACGCTTCTTTACATGCATATCAATTTAAGTCTCAAAGAAAGTCGTAAAGCTGCAACGGTTTAGGTTAAATATTAATAGAAGTGACAATTCTTGATCCTATAAGCTCGTGTATTTGCAAATCAAAGGTGGTAATTCATTGTATCACACTTAAAATTAGGCTTAGACAAACTTTATTGATCCAAAAGGGAAATTATTTGGACACAGGAGCTCAAACATCACAATATAACACAATAACTAAGACTAAAAAATATAGAAATGGTAATAAACTTCTAAATAAGTCGCAATAAAAAGTAGCAGGTGAAAAAAAAAATACTTGTACATATACATTTATATGATTATGCCTTATTTGACACCTGTCTCTTGCTCTGTTATTAAGTTCTTTTTTCAGACCAAGAGTTTGTTTTCAGACCTGACAGTTTCGACCAAACAAACTCTTGGTGTGAAAAAAGAACCTAATAACGTAAAACAATAATATCTGAAGACCAAATGAACCTCTTTGGACTGTCTCTTGTTGTGTTTTTTGCTACTTATTTCAGAATTTATTATTACTATTTATATTTTTTTAATATAGTTGTGATGTTTGAGCTGCTGTGTCCTAATAATTTTCACTTGTGGATCAATAAAGTTTTTCTAAGTCTAAGTCTAAATAAGACATAAATTGTATAAAAGTATGTACAGTAGTGTTGTAGTTAAGACCAAAGTAATCGAGTCCAAGACCTTTAAAGTCCAACACCAGGACAAGACTTTTAAAGGTCGAGACCGAGACCAAATCCAGACCATCTTTGTCATTTCCTAAAATTTAAATATTTAGTATTTCTGTCATATAAAGAAGGATTTTATGGAGCTAAATTCTTCCCTGATTATGGAAAGATGGCGTGGCGTGGGTAGTGTTGTGTTTTAGTTTTAGTTTTTCACTGTCTGTGTGAATGTTCATGTATGTTACAGTTTTGGCACATATATATCAATGTTTTTATAAATCTATCTCACTTTGATCTGATGAATGTTAATTTAGATTTAAAATAAGACAAGCAAACTGTACTGCGTCCCGTTTTTTTGGAGCCTCACCCACAGTCTGAGAACCCCTGCTTTAATCCCACTTCCACTGGCGCTTTACAGAAAACAACTTCTGTTAATCAGGTTAGTTTGTTAATCAAGTGGGTTTTTTCAAGTTCATAACATTTACAGTCGCATTATCTTACTGGTTTTGCAGCGATATTGAGCAGAATCTGCACATTTACCGGCTCTAAGGAAACACGATCACAGTTGTCGGGCGTCAGACCTCGAGTCCGAGACGAGACTGAGTCCGAATGCGCTCGAGTCTGAGAGGAGACCAAAACTGTAAAAAAGTGGTCTCGAGGACGACTACACTAACGTACAATAATTAAAACACAAATATAGTAATATAAATTCAGTATTAGTGCTGTCATGCGTTTAAAAATATTGAGAGATTAATTAATTATGATCTGTAATTAATTAATCTAATTAATCTCATTTTAATCTCACCTAAAAATAGCTGAGAAAAGCCTTCAATTTGAGGTATTTTCATTTAAATTCATTATTACATTATTGTGGCAGATCAAAAGACTGATATAGATTTTAAAAAGTGACTTTATAAAGTCATTTATTGTTTAACAAATCTCTCCAAATTGGCTGTTGAGCCCAAGTCTCCATGAATAAGAAACTGTTTGCTGTAAAGTAGCAAAGACGAGGAAATCTGAACATAATAACTTTTGTCTACTTAAAGACAGTAAAAAGTCCAGTCTTTCCTTAACCATATTAAAAATATTATTGATAGAGAAATGATTTATATATGAGATCACTGGTTTTAGTCCTGGTTTAGACCTGGTTTAGACCTGCTTTAGTCCTAGTTTAGTCCTAGTTTAGTCCTGGAATGGGTTAATCCTGGTTTTAGTCCTGGTGTTAGTTCTGGTTTAGTGCTGGTTTAGTCCTGGTTTAGACCTGGTTTAGACCTGGTTTTAGTTCTGGTTTTAGTCCTGGTTTAGTCCTGGACTGGATTAGTCCTGGTTTTAGTCTTGGTGTTAGTTCTGGTTTAGAGGCGCACAGGAGGAAGCGCGGTTTACGCCGCGTACGCGAGAAAACACGATCCACACGCGGCTCACGGGAGCACGTCGGTGTCCGCGCAGTAACTACGGAAGGAAACGTGGTCCGCGCTTTCTCAGGTTAATGACGATGATGAAGGTGTGTGTGTGTGTTTGTGTGTGTTTGTGTGTGTGTTTGTGTGGTGTTTGTGTGTGTTTGTGTGCCAGTGTTGTGTGTGGTTTGTGTGTGTTGTGTGTGTTTGTGTGCGTGTCCCCTCATGTGGCAGGTCACTATAGGACAGTAGTGCAGACATCATGAGCCTATGCAGGTTGTTTTCAAACCAGTGACATTTAAGTTGTAGGCGATTTTATATTTGTTATTTTCTTTTATATTTCACGTCGGGAGAAGAATTTCCAAGACACGAATGCGTTTTTCCCTGTGCACTGCTGCTCTGTTCTACTGGCTCTTCGACCTCGTCCATTGTGTGACTGACGCCGTAAACGTCGCTGTTACTGCGCGCGTTTTGTGTGGGTTTCCGGCAATGAGTGGAATTGCCGAAATTAAAAAATGTATAAATGTGTTTTTGTGTGTGTGTGTTGTTGTCCCAACAACACATAAAAACAGGTTTTATAATAAAGAAACTCACATACAGAAACACTAAAGTTAGAGATTAAAAATGAGATTAACGCGATTAAAAAACATAACGTGCTAAATATGACTGTAATTAATTAATCGCAATTAACGCGATAATTTGACACCCCTATTCAGTATATCACGGGTTGAAAACAAGAGATCTTAGGGAAACAGTGCAAAGATGATCTGACGACTGACAGAAACACAGGCTTATCTGTTACATAAGGCGAATCGTTGTACAGTCGTAGGGAGTATTATCTGTTACATGAGGTGAGTTGTTGTACATCTATATGGAGTATATTATGAATGTGGGTGTGTGAGCAGGGTTGTCCAAATATTTCCCTTGTTCTCTAAAATACTTTTTTTTTTTTTCTTTTTTTAAGTTTTGTCAGTAGCTCTAAACACATTTTTTAAGTTTATTGAGACACATAATTGATCGAAGAGACTTAGACTTAGACAAACTTTATTGATCCAAGAGGGAAATTACACACGTCACAATATATTTATTATAATAACAAAGAGAAAAAAAAAAAAAATGAATGGTGTAATAAAGTCTAAATAAGTTGGAGAAATAGCAAGAGACTGGAGTCAAATAATATAATAAGCTGTTATATAAAATAATAAAGCTTCACACTTACATCAAAAAAACCGGTAGACGTTTGGAAACATGCGGATGACGATTTCTTTTTGGCTCTTTTGGTGATACTAACTGTGACAAAAACTGGGAAAACTGACAAAATGGCCCAGTTTTCTTCATCTAGATGTCACTGTACTCTCTTTTTTTTTTTTTCCTTTTATAAATTGGCTATTAATTTGGGTATTTTAACTTGACTAAAAAAACAGAAATCATCCGTTAAGTTCGTCAGGTTGTGAAGACGCTGCTGCTGAATCCACGGTTTTTATCACACGCCCAGTGTCGGGAACTACACCGGGAGTCGTCATGTTTCCAAACGTCTTCCGATAAGCGTGAATAGAGCCTAAAGGACACATGTATAATTTGGTTTAAGTAGACAGTAGCGCTTTTGCACACTGATTAAATTAGAATTGATTTATTTGGAGGATAAGCCCCTTGAGATGTCTTGCCATTTCGTTTTCAAGGGGGTCCTCATAAATACAACAACAAAAGACAGATACACTAGGGCAGACAGTAGGAGACATACATAAAAAAAAACAAAAGCATGAAAACAACAAAATCAACACAACCACAGACACACACTCACTCACAATAAAACAAGTTTGAGGAAAAAAACAAAAACAAAACAGAGTTCAAAGATAATCACAACGATATGAACAACAAAAATTCAACAAAATGGTCAAAAACAATGACATGGGTTTGGTAAATATTGAACAAGAGCATTTTTAAAAGAAGGGACTGAAGTTATATTTAAATGAGTGTTTTCCTGTTTGTTTTTTGACTCTTGGGACGACAAAAAATATCTGATCAGCGTGACGTAAACTGAAAGAGGATCTGAATGGAACACACGCGTCAAGAATCTCGGACTGCCCATCGCCTTGAACCTTTCACTATTTTTCAGTTTCGTTGGGAAGGGAAACGGTTTGAACAGAGGTTTGCAGTCACACACATCTGATTCACTTTTGCATTTATGAAGTTCGCAAACAAATTTCTCTGTTAGGATCCAACAACCACACAATTACGATGTCTGAATCCCAAAACTAAAATAGGACAATATCAGAACCAGAAACAAAAGCGATATGGTTCAAAAGACTAGAAAAGATCGACTTTGTCAATAGACGCATCCCACTGGGAAAACAAACATGGCGATTTGATGCTCACTTTTTCAGAAAATCCTTCCCAGTATGAACTGCTCAATGACCGGAAGT